AAGAAATAATTTCATGCCAAAGAAGAGCAAAAATGCATCAAGAAGTAACTGTAATCTCCCTCTTAACTCTGAAACAGACAAAAATTAATTTATACCATTGTTTCAATAAAATCCCAATTTAATATTTTCTGTATCCAATATTACTTTTCTATAACACATGAAAACTGAGATTTTTTTTGCAAGAAAACACATTTATACACCTAATGATTAATTCTACAATTACAGCATATTTTATGCAACTGAACACCTATGTGCAAAGTACTTTTCTTGAGTTACTATAAAATGTATATATAATTACAGCATCTGAGCTTTACTATTTTAAGAAAAGGCACTAAGTCCTCATAGCATTAACACAAACTTCATTTTTCTAAACTTTATCACATGGACTTAGTAAAACACTGTTGTAGGCTTTAACCGGCACAGAGTTTAAGGACGACAGCATCAGTGTATGAAGCCTTTCTGTGTGCCAAGCAACAGCTTCATCACTTTCCATCCTCATGCTGGCCCTGCGAAGGCGGGGCTATTTCTGTCTCCATTTCACAGATGAGAAAGGTGAGGCTTGGAAGTGTTAGACTATGTTTCTAATGTCACAGCGCACTAAACGCCAGGACGGAGCATTAGGTCTGACCCGGATTCTGTCTCTCGAGTGCAAACTCTGCACTGCTGATTAACTCTCCCACAAACGACACTATTTGGAAAAGCTGTCTCATCTGCATAAAAATCAATTACCAATAGTAATAAATGAGAATTTTATTGTGAAACTACCACCACCTTTGATCTTCTGAACAAATTAGTACTAGGATTCTAATCTCTGTGGAAGATCCAGGCCTCACAACAAACTCTAGGTTCTAAGGCAATCAGTAAATAAATACGACCCTACTATGCAAGGCACATGGTGAATTAAAACTATGTTTTGAGTCCCTGTCATCAAGATTCCCAACATTTTTCCTCAGTTGTTAGAACTCAGGCAGAGGGACTTCCCTGGTGGTCCGGTGGCTAAGACTCCACACTCCCAATGCAGGGGGCCTGGGTTCCACCCCTGGTCAGGGAACCAGACCCCACATGTTGTAACTACCAAGATCCCGCGTGCACAACTAAGGCCTGGTGCAGCCAAAATAGACACCTACTTAAAAAAAGAAAAGGAGCTTGAGAAGAGACGGGGGGACAAAATCAACTTCCACCATCAACTAGACTGGGGAAAAAGAAAGGAACAGCATTCAGCTTTTTAGTATTGGGTTTTTGTTTTTTACCTGAAAATTTGCCATGAAGCAGCATTTTATATTCAAAAAATAGTAAATGCCTAAACCCCCTCAGATACTCAACCATAAGCCACCCAGAAACTGTGTAGAGGAAAGTCATCAGTCACAATTTGAAAATCACAGATTCACAAGAATAAATTTGCCAACGGAGTGACTTTTTTTCAGCCAGGAAGCAACTCAAAAGACATTTCTTATTTTCACCAATGCCGTACTACTAATTCCTATTATGTGCCCATCAGACACTGTCCTGAATTCTTCACACACACTCAGAAATAAATTTTATCCCCAATTTAAAGAGCGGGAAAAAGGAAAACTAGGTTTGAATACATAATCTCCACTTTGTACACACTGTAGGAAAATGAAGTAAAGAATGACTGTTACCGAACAAGCCTCATCCGATCCCCGCTTTCACACAGGCCCCAGCTCCCACTCCCCTGACAGGGCAGACTGCGGGCTGTGCTCCCACGCCGGCCACGCTCCGCGGGGGCGCCCGCCGGTGGGGAGCACTCCCAGAGGCCGTCCTCCCCGCCCCCCGGCAGCACCCTCACTCTCAGGGACTGTGTGTGCTTAGTCGCTCAGCCATGTCCCACTCTTGGCGACCCCATGGGCTGCTCTGTCCATGGGATTCTCCAGGCAAGAACACTGGAGGGGCTGCCACGCCGTCCTCCAGGGGATCTTCCCGACCCGGGTCCACGCGTTGCAGGCGGATTCTTTACTGACTGAGCCACAGGGCCGCCCTCAGTTAAGCGGGCCGCAGTCTGTACCTGAGTATCTCTTGCCCACGCACACCCACCCACCTCCCTTCCTTCCTCCAAACGTCCTATTTCTCCATCCCCGCTCTGTTCTACCCTAGCCCACCGCATTCCCTGCAGCCGGTCTTTCTGCGCTGTGACTGGGCAGCAGGCCGGGCCCTGAGCTGAGGCCCCTGGACCTGCACTGTGCCCGAAGGAGTGCACGGAGCCCTTCCCGCCGTCCAGTACAGAGGTTAGAAGGCCTCAAGGCCCAGGCCGTCTGACTTTCTCACGGCTCCTTCAGCAGAGGGCGGGCATCCGCAACACGCTTCCAGGAAAGGGAGGCTGGCTACCCGGGGCCCTCAGAATGGACGGCGCACTCTAACAACTCTCCCCAGAAAGGCACGGCCTGCAGGGGGCCTGACAAAGGTCTTCCCCACCTGTGGACTGACTCGACCAGAGAGAAGCAAGGTCCTCCAGCCCCCACGGGTATGACCTCTGGGATGGGTTCCCTCATCCACACCACCAGTAAAGGATGAAGCTGTCATTCAACGGTCAGTCCACAAGGCCCCAAATTCTCAGACAGCACATCACAGGACCAGGAAAGACTCTACTAGATTCAATTCACCTTTAAATTATCCACCAAGAGACATTCTATAATGTAACAATATTAAAGTGTATATTCCCTCTGCTGAGTCCAATGACATGCCAATCACCCTAAGCAACTGATGCGGCAGCAGAGAATCACTCAAAATATCCTGCTTCCAGACCCACCTATTCCCTGGAGGAGAAGAAAATCTGTCATCAAGACCAAACCACTGCCCAGTACAATGAAAACGACATGCATCTGTTCTTCAGTTCAGCTCAGTTGCTCAGTCGTGTCTGACTGCTTGCAACCCCATGGACTGCAGCACACCAGGCTTCCCTGTCCATCACCAACTCCCAGAGCTTGCTCAAACTCATGTCCATTGAGTCGGTGATGCCATCCAACCATCTCATCCTCTTTCATCCTCTTCTCCTCCCACCTTCAATCTTTCCCAGCATCAGGGTCTTTTCCAATGAGTCAGTTCTTCCCATCAGGTGGCCAAGGTATTGGAGCTTCAGCATCAGTCCTTCCAATGAATACTCAGGACTGATTTACTTTAGGGTTGACTGGTTGGATCTCCTTGCAGTCCAAGAGACTCTCAAGAGTCTTCTCCAACACCAGAGTTCAAAAGCATCAATTCTCCAGTGCTCAGTCTTCTTTATGGTCCAACTCTCACATCCATACATGACCACTGGAGAACCATATCTTTGACTCGGACCTTTGCTGGGAAAGTAATGTCTCTGCTTTTTAATATGCCATCTAGGTGGGTCATAGCTTTTCTTCCAAGGAGCAGGCGTCTTTTAATTTCATGGCTGCAATCACCATCTCTAGTGATTTTGGAGCCCCAAAAAATAAAGTCAGCCACGGTTTCCATTGTTTCCCCATCTGTTTGCCATGAAGTGATGGGACCAGAAGCCATGATCTTAGTTTTTTTAATGTTAAGTTTTAAGCCAACTTTTTCACTCTCCTCTTTCACCCTCATCAAGAGGCTCTTTAGTTATTCTTTGCTTTCTGCTGTAAGGGTGGTGTCATCTGCAGATGTGAGGTTATTGATATTTCTCCTGGCAATCTTGATTCCAGCTTGTGCTTCATCCAGCCCAGCATTTTGCATGATGTACTCTGCATAAAAGTTAAATGAGCAGGGTGACAATATACAGCCTTGACGTACTCCTTTCCCTATTTGGAATCAGTTGTTGTTCCATGTCCAGTTCTAACTGTTGCTTCTTAACCTGCATACAGATTTCTCAGGAAGCAGGTAAGGAGGTCTATATTCCCAACTGTTTAAGAACTTTCCACAGTTTGTTGTGATCTACAGTCAAAGGCTTTAGCATAGTCAATGAAGCAGAAGTAGGTGTTTTTCTGGAAGTTTCTTGCTTTTTCTATAATCCAACAGATGTTGGCAATTTGATCTCTGGTTCCTCTGCCTTTTCTAAATCCAGCTTGAGCATCTGGAAGTTCAGGGTTCACGTATTGTTGAAGCCTGGCTTGGAGAATTTTGAGCATTACTTTGCTAGAATGTGAGATGAGTGCTACTGTGCAGCAGTTTGAGCATTCCTTGGCATTGTCTTTCTTTGGGATTGGAATGAAAACTAATCTTTTCCAGTCCTGTGGCCACTGCTGAGGTTTCCAAATTTGCTGGCACATTGAGTGCAGCACTTTTACAGCATCACCTTTTAGGATTTGAAATAGCTCAGCTGGAATTTCATCACCTCCACTAGCATTGTTGTAGTAATGCTTCCTAAGGCCCACTTGACTTTGGACTCCAGGATGTCTGGCTCTAGGTGAGTGATCACACCATCGTGGTTATCTGGGTCCTGAAGATCTTTTTCGTATAGCTCTTCTATGTATTCTTGCCACCTCTTCTTAGTATCTTCTGCTTCTGTTAGGTCTGTACCGTTTCTGTCCTTTATTGTGCCCATCTTTGCATGAAATGTACCCTTAGTATCTTGAAGAGATACCAATTTTCTTGAAGAGATCTCTAGTCTTTCCCATTCTATTGTTATTAACTCCCACATTTCTCACTTTACTAACAGTGAGTGGAAATAATCATCCAGTAACTTTCAATAGAGTCCCACTTTTATTCTCTGCTGCTCAATAAAATAAAATAGTAATGGTCAAGGAGCCATAAAACAAATTATCACACTTTTACATGCACTTTCCTATTCATATTCACCTAACAATACATACACACACACTATGGATACATAGTTTATAATTTTGCCATGCTGTTTAACTGACTTTAAATACCAAAAAAGTTCATATTGTATACAATTAAGATCATGAAAAAGAAATAACCTTCAAGAAGAAAAAGTCCATGAACTTCACAGTCCATATCCCAGAAAAAATGATTAAATGCAAGAGAAAGAGAGAACTTAAGGTGATAAATTGATACTAAAAGCAAAGAAGTTACCGTAACTGAGGTACCTTTTAGCACTAGTAGACAGTTTGGCAGCTGTTTTGCTGGATATCTTCCCCTCCTTCTTCCTGGGCTGAACCTGCTCTCTCTCTGGTTCCCGCTGGACACTCTCACGCTGGTCTCCATCGGAGCTTCCCCCACTAGTGCCCGGACTGTCGTCGACTCTCTGTGCCTCAGTGGACATTTTAGATCCTGGATTGAAGAGTCAAAAAAATCATTTATTCAGTTGGGGAAGGACTGCAGAAAGGTCGCTCGAGAACAGAGAGAAAGTGACTCTTAACAGGAACCAAAGAAAACTCACTACACAATGAATGACTTGCTCACTTTACCTAACAGCTTTGGGAGTTGCCAAAACTTTTCCTTCATCCATTCAAGATGTATTAAGAAAAGAAATGAAGACAAATATATATACACAATATGTTCATAGCAACATTATTCACAGAACCAAAAAGAGGAAACAACTCATATACCCACCAGCCGACAACAAACAGATAAACCAAATGTGGGATATCCAAGCAACGGAATGCCATCCAGCCACATAAAGGAACGGAGTACAGTATGTGCAAGCTACACCATGGATGCACTTTGAAAACACGACGTTCAGTGAAAGACACCAGGCACAAAGGGCCGCAAACGGCACGAACCATCCAGAATCGGTGAGTGCGCAGAGACAGAAAAGTCAGTGAGTGATTGCCAGGGGCTGGGAGTAAGAGAAGGATGGGAACGGTACAAAGCTAAGAGGTGCAAAGTTTCCTTGTGGGGTGATAAAAATGTTCTTAAATTCAATAATGGTGATATACAGCTCTAAATATTCTAAAAACCACTGAGCTATACATTTTAAAAGAGTGAATTTTGCAACACATGAATTACGTGTCAATAAAGCGTCATCGAAAAAGAAAAAAACTGTGCTACTCACCAGGCACTGTGCCAGGCTCTTGAGTACTAGGATAAGCAAGCTGATCAGTGGGTAAGACTACTTGCTAGGGGCTGTAACAGAGGCCAGTAAAAATGGCCAAAGAACAGAGGGATGGAGCAAACGCTGGCACCAATACCTCATGAATACATCCTCCGGCTGGGCTATGGTTAAAACCCTGTAAGTCAGTCAACTGTTTTAAGTAACTTTTGTGATAACAGAAGAACACAGAGGCCTCCGTGATTCTAAATAGAAGTTGAACCGCAGGATGGTGCCAGCCTTGATCCAACAATATACTAAGCAACCAGGTTCCACAGGAGATGAAGGCTCTATGGAGACATCAGGGGCCTGTCTTTCCCCCCACGGTCTGGATGAAACATACCTCGAGGCTTTCAAAGTCCCTTTGCTCCACAAGCAACTCTGATTACCAACTCAATCTTCTCAATATCTTGGTACATGGGTAAACTGTTACAATCTAGATAATGCACAAAAAATTCCAGTTCTCTCTTGCCAACAATCATTCTATCATAATCGATTTCTGAGTCTGATTACCATGAGTACATCCCCTGTGACCCAACTAGCTTACAGTTTACCGACAAATCCAAAACCAAACTGACAAAACCCATGCCCAGACTCTCACCATGTTACTGCCACCTCATAACTACCAGAGCTGGTACACCTACCTTCTGGGGCGCCTCTCTTCAAAACACAGAACTACCTTTAAGGAGTGACATCAACACCACAAAGTACCCCTTTAAGAACCACAAGTAAATGGGAACAAATTCCTTTTGAAAAAGATACTATGTAACTCTTAGTCAAATCAAGACTTAAAACTGTATTTGATAGATCAAAAACAAGACTTAATATGTAAAAGAAAGATACCTCAAATAAAGCACTGTTTGATTACTACAACTGGTCCAAATGTAGAGCTAGCTGACAATAATTAAAATTCTTCCTCATGAAGATTTAACTTATAGCTCGCTCTATTTCACTTGTAGCTTGCTCTAAATCAAAGTGATTTCATAAGACAGAACCTGAAGTGGTTGAAATGAGAAAGGTTAAGACAAACCCGAAGGAGAATTGAGGACTCGGGAAGCAGAGCGGGTGAGGAGCCAGCAGAAATCCTGAGTGCCTTCACTAAGGCATCACCAGACACAGCCCCATCACCCTCAGCAGCTCCCTTCCTCCATGCCAAAGAAAAAGAGGTCTGCCCAGGCAGCTCTGAAGCGGGGAAACCCGATGGCTTCCCCCGCTGTAAATGGAGCACAACAGTCTCCTCAGCTGGAACATCTTCTAGGGGCACTCTTATAAGGTCACTTAATAGAATCCTGCGATTTTGTATCAGTATGTTCCACATCCAGCTCAAACAGTCCTAACATATTTCTTGTTTTCTTTTTTTTTTTTTTTCATTTTTATTTCACATAAAATTCTCATCCTTGTATTTAATGCTGAATTTTTTTTTTCAGCTTACTTTTTTCAGTTAAAAAAAAAATACATATATATATATGAGTTTAAACCCTTGCAAGTATGTACATAAGAGCCTGTGAGAACAGCTGTGCATGAGAGTAAGAAAGAGAGTAATTCTTAGGGAAAGGCCCTCACATGCAGTAAAACGCTGCTGGCAATATTTTGAGATATGTGAAACGAGTGAGAAATCCTTTTATATGTCTTAAACTAGAAGCAATCCATTAGTTGACAAACACATGAAAACCTAAATGGAATAAAATTCTTTTTTACTGAAGCTCCAGCTTTAGTTTGATAAACTATGCCTAGAATTTCAGTTGCATATTAACATTAGTTATAAAGCTACATATTCATCTTAATATTCTTATTTATGTGTAATTACATAATATCTAATAATGCCATAAGCATATATAATTACTTAAAAGACTACTCAATGATATAATCTAAGCCACAGTCTGAAATCCAAATTTCATAAACTGCCCCACAGTATCAGAAGACTAAAATTAGTCTCACTAGGGAACTATTAAAATACCCAAATAGATGTATAATTTCTACAGTTTCACAGTAAGGAAAAAGATTTCCACTTTTGACCTAAGAAGCCTTATTTCATCCAAATCAACCTATGGATGACAAGTTCACCTAAGGCCACAAATAACCACTATAAAAGAAGCTTTCAGAAACAAAGTTTTCATATCCTGTTCAAATACTAAGAGTAAGGGGAAGTTCTGTGGGTTTTATTAATAGTTTTTGAGTGTCTAATTACAGAAACAGTGTGGGGAAAAATTACTGCACTACTTAGGTGGCAACTAATTTTTACAAAGAAAAAATAGTCTATACACATTTTAATTAGCTGCAAGACTGGTGTTTTGTCTCTCTTAAAGTACAAATGAGTAAAAAAAAAAAAAACTTTCTGGGCTTCCCTGGTGGCTCAAAAGTAAAGAATCCGCCTGCCCATGCAGGGTTCAATCCCTGGTCCAGAAGATCCCACATCCTGCAGAGCAACTAGGCCCGTGCACCCCAACTCCCGAGCCTGCGCGCCCTAGAGCCGGGGCTCCTGCGCAAGAGGAGCCACGACAAAAAGACCAGCGCCGAGCAGCTCGAGGCAGCCAGAGAGAGGCCCCTGCAGAAACCAAGACTCAGGACAGCCAAAAATCAACCACTTTCTTTTAAATTTCCCGAATTAAAACAATGTTACCTTCAAGGGACTCCTGTGTCCCCAGTACAGAGGGCATGGGTTCAATCCCTGGTTAGAGAGCTAAGACCCCACAAGCCGCAGGGCACAGACAAGAAAGAAACACAGAAGTGAATGTTATCTTCTAAATCAGCACTTACTTTTAAGATGAATTCTTCAACAGCTAATTGGATCCAATTATCTAATCTAGAGTGAAGATAAACTGGAATCCCAGGGTTATAAACACAGAGCTACTCTTCCATGATAGTTTCAAAGATCAAGATTTTTACTTTGCATTCAAATACTCAGTTTCTAAACATAAAATAGTAAAATCGAACTTTCCTCAAAGAAGTGTTAGATTAAAAGTCTGAATATTGTTCTTTCTTCAACTCAAAAATTATCTAAAAGGGTATTAGCTATGTATTCTATATGGTAAATTACAGTCCTGGAAATTAGCAACATATGAAAATAAACTCACATGTTCCATAGAAATGAGATGATTTGGTGATAAATATTATTGATAACATAGAAACAACTATAGTCACTCCGTGAATCCGGATTACCGTCCAGATAAGACAGTATAAAACTGTATAAAACTCACAGTATAAGACTGCAGAAGCAAGTGTTCCTTTGAGCTTTCACAACAGGAAAACGCTTAATTCTGTCCTGTTTCTTGCCACTTACCTTCCCAGTCGCGTTTCTAAACTTTTCTAAAATGTAAAATTAATTTATATTACCTTTAACTCACCTGCAAGGATATTTATGCAGGAAATAATAGTGGAACACCCAAGATTTGAGGAAAAGGTGCTATGGTGTGGCGGTGAGCACCTTTCTATAATGGGGTATGACATTATATGAAAACCCTCCATCACTGGCATCAGCCCACACACAAATCTCTCAAGAGCCAAGGGGCATCCAAACTGAGTCAACACAAATTTTTAGATTCCCAAGGTCCAGAACGAATTCTCACCTATTCAGAAACATACTTTTTTAAGAATCGGAGATTAAAAAAAAAAACTAAGAAGAATTTAAAATCTTTCTGAAAGGCGAGATGGCAAGATACTCAAGGTAAACCCTACCATTTCCTTCTGCACTTTTAAATAAAAAAATATTTGCGTAGACGCTCAAGAATACACAATGCAAAACGGTTAATCTGGAAAACATGCAAATGGGTCTAACAGCCACCGAGCCAGGACGGGGTCCTTGCAAAGCGGCCTTAATTTCCTTAAGAGAAGATGGATTGGACATTTCTGGTCGGTCGTGGGGGGCGGGGGGCGAAGAAGAAGCTCCGCTTTATCTTCATTAGAAATAGTAAAGGGCAAGAGGATGAAAACCCAGAGAGCGAGGAGACAGGGCGGGGGGAGAAGGAAGGGGGGCGCTGGGGGTGAAACCCGGCTTCGAACCGAGCCAGCGGGGCTGCGGAGGACCGAGACCAGGAAAACGGGCTCGGACCGCGGACTGCGGGCTTCACAAAGCGGGGACAACACACGGCCCGCCGCAGGGCGGACGCGGCACGGCCCCCGGCCCCGGGTGGAGGAGGGACCCGCAGGGACCCCGCGGGCGGCGATGATNGCCCCGCGAGCGGACGGCGGCGGGGGCGGGCGAGGGGCGCCCCCCGGGACGGAGCGCCGGGGCCGCG